GTGGCATATCTTTCCCAAATACCAGTGCAAGTTGTGCCGGGGCGTTGTTGAAGTACCAAAAGAATATTTCTGTCATATGGATGGACAAGGGTCACGAGCAGATAAATTCCAGCGGCCAGAATTGTGTTGCGGCAGCTACGAGTTCATTGCGACTCCAGAGTATTGCCGGGTAAGATCAACTACACTTTTCTTAAGCTCTTCTTCAACTGGTGAAATTTAAAAAGTGTTTTTTCTTCTTGAATTTGATGATACAATAAATTCTGCAGAAGTACCATCTCCAGCTGTTACTTTTAGTTTTGTACACTCGACCTCCACCACACCTGTGCCAAACAAGACCCACCACACCTGTGCCAAACAAGACCCACCACACCTGTGCCAAACAAGACCCCACCACACCTGTGCCAAACAAGACCCACCACACCTGTGCCAAACAAGACCCCACCACACCTGTGCCAAACAAGACCCACCACACCTGTGCCAAACAAGACCCCACCACACCTGTGCCAAACAAGACCCACCACACCCTGTGCCAAACAAGACCCCACCACACCTTTTCCCAAACAAGACCCACCACACCTGTGCCAAACAAGACCCACAACATCTGTGCCAAACAAGACCCACCACACCTGTGCCAAACAAGACCCACCACACCTGCACTGAATAAACAGGAACCCACCACACCTGCACTGAATGAACAGGAACCCACTACACCTGCACTGAATAAACAGGAACCCACCACACCTGCACTGAATAAACAGGAACCCACCACACCTGCACTGAATAAACAGGAACCCACCACACCTGCACTGAATAAACAGGAACCCACCACACCTGCACTGAATAAACAGGAACCCACCACACCTGCATGAATAAAACAGGAACCCACCACACCTGCACTGAAAAACAGGAACCCCCCAAAACCTACACTGAATAAACAGGAACAACACCACACCTACACTGAATAAACAGGAACCCACCACACCTACACTGAATAAACAGGAACCCACCAAAAACCTGCACTGAATAAACAGGAACCCACCCCCCACCTACACTAAATAAATAGTAACCCACCACACCCTGCACTGAATAAACAGGAACCCACCACACCTACACTGAAAAACAGGAACCCACCACACCTGCACTGAATAAACAGGAACCCACCACACCTACACTGAATAAATAGTAAACCCACCACACTACACTGAATAAAGAGGAACCCACCACACCTACACTGAATAAACATTAACCCACCACACCTGCACTGAATAAACAGGAACCCACCACACCTACACTGAATAAATAGTAACCCACCACACCTGCACTGAATAAACGGGAAACCCCACCACACCTACACTGAATAAAAGGAACCCACCACACCTGCACTGAAAAAAACAGGAACCCCCACACCAAACACGGAATAAATAGTAACCCACCACACCTACAACTGAATAAATAGTAACCCACCACACCTACACTGAATAAACAGGAACCCACCACACCTACACTGAATAAACAGGAACCCACCACACCTACACTGAATAAACAGGAACCCACCACACCTACACTGAATAAACAGGAACCCACCACACCTGCACTGAATAAACAGGAACCCACCACACCTACACTGAATAAATAGTAACCCACCACACCTGCACTGAATAAATAGTAACCCACCACACCTACACTGAATAAATAGTAACCCACCACACCTACACTGAATAAATAGTAACCCACCACACCTACACTGAATAAATAGTAAACCCACCACACTACACTGAATAAATAGTAACCCACCACACCTACACTGAATAAATAGAAACCCCAAACCACACCTACACTGAATAAATAGAAAACCCACCACACCTACACTGAATAAATAGTAACCCACCACACCTACACTGAATAAACAGGAACCCACCACACCTACACTGAATAAACAGGAACCCACCCCCACCTACACTGAATAAATAGTAACCCACCACACCTACACTGAAAAAAACAGGAACCCACCACACCTACACTGAATAAACAGGAACCCACCACACCTACACTAAATAAACAGGAACCCACCACACTACACTGAATAAACAGGAACCCACCACACCTACACTAAATAAACCAGGAACCCACCACACCTACACTAAATAAACAGGAACCCACCACACCTACTGAATAAACAGGAACCCACCACACCTACACTGAATAAACAGGAACCCCCCTCACCTACACTTAATAAACGGGAACCCACCACACCTACACTGAATAAACAGGAACCCACCACACCTACACTAAAAAAATAGTAACCCACCACCCTGCACTGAATAAACAGGAACCCCCCACACCTACACAGAATAAAACAGGACCCACCAACACCGCACTGAATAAACAGGAACCCACCACACCTACACTGAATAAATAGTAACCCACCACACCTACACTGAATAAACAGGAACCCACCACACCTACACTGAAAAAAACAGGAACCCACCACCCCAAACACTGAATAAACAGGAACCCACACACCTACACTGAATAAACAGGAAACCCACCACACCTGCACTGAATAAACAGGAACCCACCACACCTGCACTAAATTTAAATAGTAACCCACCACACCTGCACTGAATAAATAGTAACCCCACCACATCTGCACTGAATAAATAGTAACCCACCACACCTACACTGAAAAAAATAGTAACCCACCACACTACACTGAATAAATGTAACCACCACACCTACACTGAATAAATAGTAACCCACCACACCTACACTGAATAAACGGAACCCCCCCACACCCTACACGAATAAACAGGAACCTACCACACTACACTGAATAAACAGGAGCCCACCACACCTACACTGAATAAACGGGAAACCCCCCAAACACCTACACTGAATAAACAGAAACCCACCACACCTACACTGAATAAACAGGAAACCCACCACACCTACACTGAATAAACAGGAACCCACCACCCTACACTGAATAAACAGGAACCCACCACACCTACACTGAATAAACAGGAACCCCCCACCCCTACACTGAAAAAAAAACAGGAACCCACCACACCTACACTGAATAAATAGTAACCCACCACCCCTACACTGAATAAACAGGAAACCCACCACACCTACACTGAATAAATAGTAACCCACCACATCTACACTGAATAAAAGGAACCCACCACACCTACACTGAATAAACGGGAAACCCACCACACCTACACTGAATAAACAGAACCCACCCCCCCTACACTGAAATAAACAGGAACCCCCCACCCCTTTACACTGAATAAACAGGACCCACCACACCTACACTGAATAAATAGTAACCCACCACATTACACTAAATAAACAGGAACCCACCACACCTACACTGAATAAATAGAAAACCCACCACACCTACACTGAATAAATAGAACCCACACACCTACACTGAATAAATAGTAACCCACCACACCTACACTGAATAAACAGGAACCCACCACATCTACACTGAATAAATAGTAACCCACCACACCTACACAAAATAGTAACCCACCACACCTACACTGAATAAATAGTAACCCACCACACCTACACTGAATAAATAGTAACCCACCACACCTACACTGAATAAATAGAAACCCACCACACCTACACTGAATAAACGGGAAAACCACCACATCTACACTGAATAAACAGGAACCCACCACATCTACACTGAATAAATAGTAACCCACCACACCTACAGAAAATAGAAAACCCACCACACCTACACGAATAAATAGTAACCCACCACACCTACACTGAATAAATAGTAACCCACCACCCCTAACTGAATAAATAGTAACCCACCACACCTACACTGAATAAATAGAAACCCACCACACCTACACTGAATAAATAGTAACCCACCACACCTACACTGAATAAATAGAAAACCCACCACACCTGCACTGAATAAAAAAGTAATCCACCACACCTGCACTGAATAAATAGTAACCCACCACACCTGCACTGAATAAATAGTAACCCACCACACCTGCACTGAATAAATAGTAACCCACCACACCTGCACTGAATAAATAGAAACCCCCCAAACACCTGCACTGAATAAATAGTAAACCCACCACACCTGCACTGAAGAAATAGTAACCCACCACACCTGCACTGAATAAATAGTAACCCACCAAACCTGCACTGAAAAAAATAGTAACCCACCACACCTGCACTAAATTTAAATGTAACCCACCACCCCTGCACTGAATAAATAGTAACCCACCACACCTGCACTGAATAATAGTAACCCACCACCCTGCATGAATAAATAGTAAACCCACCACACCTGCACTGAATAAATAGTAACCCACCACACCTGCACTGATAAATAGTAACCCACCACACCTGCTTTGAATAGTAACCCACCACACCTGCACTGAAAAATAGTAACCCACCACACCTGCACTGAATAAATATTTAACCCACCACACCTGCACTGAAAAATAGTAAACCCACCACACCTGCACTGAATAAATAGTAACCCACCACACCTGCACTGAATAAAATAGTAACCCACCACACCTGCACTGAATAAATAGAAAACCCACCACACCTGCACTGAATAAATAGAAACCCCACCACACCTGCACTCAATAAATAGTAACCCACCACACCTGCACTGAATAAATAGTAACCCACCACACCTGCACTGAATAAATAGTAACCCACCACACCTGCACTGATTAAATAGTAACCCACCACAACACCTGCACTGAATAAATAGTAACCCACCACAACACCTGCACTGAATAAATAGTAACCCACCACAACACCTGCACTGAATAAATAGTAACCCACCACACCTGCACTGAATAAACAGGAACCCACCACACCTACACTGAATAAACAGGAACCCACCACACCTACACTGAATAAACAGGAACCCACCACACCTACACTGAATAAACAGGAACCCACCACACTTACACTGAATAAACAGGAACCCACCACACCTACACTGCATAAACAGGAACCCACCACACCTTCACTGCATAAACAGGAACCCACCACACCTACACTGAATAAACAGGAACCCACCACACTCACACCAAACAAATTGGAAGCAGTGCACCTGCATCAGATAACTATGTATCAAATTTCAATAAATTTTGTTAAATGTGCAGCCTC